TTGGACAAAGAACAATTTCTCATTTTCGTTTGTCAAAAGCTTAGGCAGCACAGTTTGTAATGAAGGGCTACCGAACAAGTACAACAAGTGACAGAATCATCCTCTGTTATCATACAACCTAAACCAAATTCATGTCAAGAAAAGAGTTATATAGTACAGGTTATGTATGATACATACACAACCTTAAATCTTGGCCAATTTATTACCATTCAGTAATACTTTTTTAAACAATATGCATCATGCAATCAAGGGTTGGTAATCAAGAGATTGCTTAAGGCAGTGTGATTTATATGGAACAAGATAAACGAACACGAAGAAAACCCGTCTCATGAAATTAAGAGCTACAACAATAAATAGTACTCCGTATGCATTATGTTCGGAAAAAGAGATAGTGAGCCTCAAGTCTGCTCAAGACACATACACATATGGGATGTGGCAATACGAGCAACGAATAATAAGTCAGATCCATGATAGACCGCATAAAGAAAAAGATCGATTTATAGCTAAAACATTAGATGGACAAAAAACACATAGCAAAGAACAAAACAAGAGAGATTATTAAATAAGGCACCTAAGAAGTGTGAGTCCACGGCGAACAGACACCCACTGGATCATCTTCATTATCTCAATTCTTCTCATCCTATAGCATCCTGCAAAGCTGCAAGTATTGAAGCAAGACTTTTTAACTTAGCCTTGAGACTCATTCTTCCGGTCGTTTTCAGCATCCCTTGCCTCTAACAACCTGCCAGCCTCCTCATCGGGCTGTGCAGTCTTCTTCTGCGCCTCCTTAGCTTTTAGGGCCTGCAATTTGGAGTGATTGTAGTAACCCACACCCAAGAAAGCCAGGCCGTATCCCAACAAATTGATAGGGGTCACAGTGTCCTTAATCACAGACCAGGAGAAGGCAATCAGCAGCCAGTCCTTAACCACGCCAGCCACATTCATAGTCAAAGCCGAAGTCTTTCCCACGAGCAAGAAGACGGCGAGGTTCAGAGCAAATGCACAGAAAGAATTGGTACCAAAGATGAAATAGTCAAAATGGAAACTGGAATTCTCCTTGAGAACTGGGAACTCGACCAGAACCCAAGGCACAAACAGGAAGGCCAAGCAACAGGGAGCCACATAATAGAGAGATGTAATGGGATTCAGCGTAATACCCTTGGAGGTGAGAAGAATCTGGATCATGACCAGCCTGGTGGCCTCGAAAGCCACAGCGCCAAGCTGGAGAATCACTCCCCAGGAGTCGAATTTGGCCTCGCCGTAGGCTGCGATGGCAACCCCGATCGAGATCGAGACCATATTGGCCATGGTCTCGGACTTGAAAGACTCCTTTTTGAGGAGAACGCCGATGGAGTAGACGGCGACGGGCATCAGGGCTTTGAGCATCTGGATGAAGGAGACGGAGAGGAAAATATAGGCGGAATTGGAGAGCCAGAGGGAGAGGGAATAGAGGAGGCCGATGGGGACGACGGATTTGAGGTAGAGATCCCAGGACATGGAGACGGGTTCGAAAACCTTGAGGACCCGGACGAGGAGGTAGGCCAGGGAGGAGCAGAAGGACATGTGGATCATGGTCAGGGAGATGGGGTAGGGCCAATTGTAGAGCTTGCGATCGAGGATGTACTTGTTGTAGACGATGACAGTGAAGGAGAGGAAGATCCAGACGGCGACATAGGCGTAGGAAATCAAGATCTTCTTCACCACGCCCTCGCTCAGAGCTCCTCCTTTGCCCATGGCGGAAAGAAAGAAACCCAGAGTGGATCCGAGAGAGATTGGGATTCAGGAGCAATGCGCGTAGGAGATCGATCAGATTGGGAGGTAGCGTTACAGTGGCGAGGCGAGGGGGAGGGTGATGTCAAGAAGAAGAAGAAGAAGAAGAAGAAAGGGGGAGTTATATTATATTAATATATGTTGAGTGTGTTGAATGTGGGGTGCATTAAATTAAAATTAAAATTGATGGGGGGCATGAATGGGAATTACTGCTAATTAGGAGTAATTAGTAGTTGAATAGGGTTAGGAATTGGGATTGTAAACGGAACCTGTTTGACTTTGTGCTCTCCATAACCTACGGTGTTTATAAACAAAAAAATAAAATAAAATAAAAGGGGACGACACCTTTTCAAAGTTTGGACAAATTGCACACTCGATATATGGGGGGTGGTTTCCCTCTGGGTGACTAATTTTGCTTTTGGGAGGATTATATTCCCATCAGGTTTCGGTTTCGTGAGAGAGCCGAAACACTTTCTTCTCACAAGAAAGTCACAAATAACATATTCTCATAAAATATAGTAGTATTTTACTTCCTCTTTCTCTCTCAAATATTGTCATTGGTCAAATTGTAGAATTCTTTGACAATTAATTATAAAAAAAAGATACTTAGTTATAATGTGAATTTAGTAAAATTGGATTTATTTTAAAATATAAATTTAGTATATCAATTTTTATACTCCGTAATATATTATTATTTTAAATTATATTTAATTTGTGACTAAAGAATGTCAGTGTTTAACAAAAAAAGATCAAATTATTGCAAATCTTTTAGGGACGGAGAGATTATAATAGTCTTTCCGTTCCTAAAAGATTGTCACATTTTGACCGTTTTCATCAAATTCTGGTACCCTTTGACCATGATTTATGGATTAAGTGTATTTACTTATAATATAAATTTAGTAAGTTTAGATTTATTTTAAAATATAGTTTTTAAATATTAAATTTTTATAATATTTAATTATTTAAACTATATTTAATTCAATGTCAAATAGTGACACAGTTTGATTAAAAAAGTCAAAACGTAACAATCTTTTAGTGATGGAGAAGTATGTGGAAAAGCGAAAGCCCTCATTTTATAAATGTTACTCCCTCCATCCCAATTTAAATCTCATGTTTCGGTTTATGATATTTGTCTGAAGTTCTTTTTAAATCATTTTATATGAACTACCGGCTAACGATAATGCATTAACGTGCCACGGTAGCACTACCATATCAAACGTTCAGATTTTTTAAATCTGTTGATTTATTTATTTTGACTCCAATCATTCTTTAATCACTCAAAATCATGTCCCACGTCTCTCGAACGATCACTAAACATTTTCCATTACAAATTGTAATGGTCAAGAATAGTCCTATAAATCTTTGGGTAATCGGTTGAGGATAGTCGTATAAAACCTTGTCCAAAGGTTTGAGGATACTCTTAGATCTTTGGGGGAAAAGGTGGAAGGTAGTCTTTAAATCTTCATTGTAAGTGATTGAAGATAGCCATTGTGAAATCTCGGTGTGAATTCTGTTGGCAAGAGTTGTTTGCAAAAATCTTGTACGGTGCTTTGACGAGATTCAAGAGGCTGGGATTTAGTGGATTCGGAACTCCTTAAGAAGAAAATTTAAGGTACTAGGTTAGAAATTTTCCAAACCAGTATAAATTAGTATTCCTTCTGTCCTACAAAACGTTACCCATTTTGAATATTATTTGATCAAACAGTTATACGTTTTGACTACAAATTGTGAGAAAAGTATATTGAATTATAATATAAATTTAATATAATTGGATTCATCTTAGGATCTAGTTTTGATATATCAAATTTTTATAACATTTCTTTATTTAGATTAGGGGTGTGCACAATTTGGTAAACCGACCGAACCGAAACCGAACCGAATAACTCGGTTCGGTATTCGGTTCTCATATTTTGAAAAAATCGGTTTTCGGTTCGGTATAAAATTTGGAATCGGTATTTCGGTAAAAACCGAATACCGAAATTATTTAATACTTATGTATAATTTCATCCATTGCTACTCAATTCAATTCCCAATATCTATCCCAATATTGAAATAATGAATATCCACCCCACTAATTTTAAATCCTATTATCTAAATTTGGAGTTATTTAAGATTGAAAATCATGAAAGAGAACTTTCATAACGATTTAATAATGATTCAAAACTCCTATCTTGTTTTGAGATATTTGTAATAGTAATCAAAATACACAAGAAATAAGAGTTTTGATAAGATAGAAAACACAGGCCAAATTGCTCCAACACGCATTACAACTCCAATCACAACTTAAAATTCATAGCAATGAGGAAGCGTCAAAAGCTACCAACCGGATTTCTGATATTTGAATTTGGAGTAAATGGAAGCAAATTCTGTACTTGACTGAAGGGAAGGTGTAATTTGGAGAATGAAATGAATTTTTTAAAGTTCAAATTTTGGTTTATGTTCGGTTTTTGGTAAAACCGATTACCAAACCGAATTAATTTGGTTTTTACCGAACCGAACCATTTGATTTCGGTTCGGTATTTACTATTTGGTACAAAAAATAAATTACCGAAATTTCGGTTCGGTTTTACCGAATGAATTTAGATTATATTTAATGTATGGTCAAAACATGTAACTGTTTGACAAAAAATATATCAAAATGTGTAATGATTTGTTGGATGGAGGGAGTCTGCTCTTATTTTACGCTTTTTATTTCTGCGTTATTTTCATTGCTTTGCATTTGTCAATCTTGATTTATTAAACTCCGAAAATCTTTAAACGCCTTATTCACCCCCTCGACACATCGAACTAACATCTACCTACAACAAAATTTAATATATCCATAATCATAACCTACGAGAGATGACTCAACGTCATTACATACTAGTCTCAAGGAATTAGTGATGTCTTAATTATCATCAATACATGAATTACTCCGTAGATAATAGTTTCACTTATAAGTCATGCGCCTAATAAATTTTATCTTGGACGCCAAATGTAAGGACTATAATATGTTTATCTAGGACATACACTATACACTATATCAGTTTTCTACAAGAATAGCTGTGATGAAAAAACACTGGCTGTCAAAATAGCTGTGTGTGAGAATATAGACCTTGTTCTCTTCACCTAATCTGATTGATTCTGATATGATTGAAATACGTTCTGATCTGATTAGGTTTGAATGTAGTTATATTTAAAGTTGTTTCTGATCTGATCAGGTCTGATCTGAACTAATTCCAATAAGAACAAGCAATACACACTCTATATTGTGCCAAGAAATTTATAATGAGTTATGGATTAGCTTCAATAAGAAAACCCTTTCCTCAACCTTTCCTTCTTTGCTTCTCCTTTCCTCTTGGTCTGAAATCCCCTAAATTTCTTGGGGCGCCCATCCGGCGTCTCATTGAAGAGATCCTTGTACTTCAACATTAAGCACTCTTTATGCTTGGCTAAGCCCAGCACTTCATATGCATCAGCCACTCTCTGCACTATAGACTTCTCTAGTGGTTTTCGCCCGAACGCTTCCAAGTCCTTGAACAGCTTCACAAGATCCTCCAGCATATCGTTTCGATGATACACCGAAATCATCAGACTGCACAATGACCATGGCACCGAATGCAGGTCTGACCCAATTTTTTTCCTCCAAATTTCACGCGCTTCGTCTGCCCTATGGTCCATATCTAATGCCCGAATTAGCTGCCCGTAAGTACTTCTTGTGTTGCCTTGACCTTTGCTTAACATCCACTTTATAACTTGGATAACTCTATGCCATTGTTGCTCATTCTCAAGTGTGAGTAGAATGTGCTTTAGAGGGCCGATTGGGAAGTTCTGTTCCCATGCAACCCACGCGTCCAAGGCACTGTAGATGCCCTCTTTACTATCCTCGAGGTCTCGCAGCATCTGTAATAGAAAGCTGGTCTTCTCCTTTCTTGAAACATGTTGTCCTATCTGTTGTTTCTGCTCACTTCCACTGTCTTTCCCTGAAAACTTGGGATATTCTTGATAATTGATCATGGGATTTGCAGATACAGCTGCATTCGCATGGCTTTGGCTGGAGACTAGAGGAGATCGAGCAACTGTTCTGTAGGAGCATGAAAATGTACTCTTTCTAATCAATGAATGTTGGCTGATATGTCTAAACAGCTTGGCAATCGAAGCCGGATTTGACATTTGCCTTCACTATGGAACCCTGAAATATATCAAGAAGATAAGCGCATAAATGGTTAGAGGACCCACTGAAATGTGTGTTCAATGTCAAAGAAATGAGAACTTAGCAACAACACAGTACTACTCCCTGCCTACATCCCAAAATGAACTTGTTTCGTTTATGATGCTTGACTGAATATATTTTTAATTCTATTTATTTGAAAATTGGTGTGGAATTAAAAAAATACAATTTATATAATTAAAACCAACACAAAATGCTCACTTCATCCTTGCCATGAAAAAATGAGGGAGTAACGTGATAGCTCAATCATAGGAGGTGACAGAGACATGGAGTGGTGGCTCAACTGGTAACATACTACAGAAAAAACCTATGCCTGCTTAGGTAGTTGGGATTTGGGTTATGTTTGACAGGTGGTAGATTAAGGTAAAATAAGGTAGGTAAATAAAGGTAAAAAATTTGAAGCAAGGTTAGGACTCATATACATATAACGTTTATACTGCTGTCTAATACGTACGGAGTAACATATTATTCTAATATATATAATCCGTCCATCGGGATTTAGCTGTCCAATTTCCAAAATACATCAAATTTAAGGAATGATACTGTGAGGGTAGAGTAAAAAAATTGTTGAAACAAGTTTGCCCTTCATTAATGATGACGACAACAACAACAACAACTACTACTACTACTAACCAAGTATAATCCCAGCTTTGCTCGGGTGTGGGGAGGTCAAGATGTACGCATGGGTACCCTTTTAAAAACAGATTGGTAGATTAAGGTAAAATAAGGTAGGTAAATGGAGGTAAATAAAGGTAACAAATTTGAGGCAAGTTTAGGACATAATGTTCAAAAAAAGTTGTTTAGCTTGTTAAGAGTTAACTAAATGTAAGTATGTATGAAATGCTGTATGGACTGACTAAGGTAGGTACTCATATCCATATAACGTTAATACTGCTGTCTAATATGTACGGAGTAACATCTTATTCTAATATATATAATCCCTCCATCTGGATTTAGCTGTCCAATTTCCAAAATACATCAAATTTAAGAAGCGATACTATGAGGGTAGAGTAATAAAATTCTTCAAACAAGTTTGCCCTTCATTAATGATGACGACAACAACTACTAACCAAGTATAATCCCATCTTTGCTCGGGTGTGGGGAGGTCAAGATGTACGCATGGTTACCCTTTTAAAAACAGATAGGTTGTTTCCGTTAGAGCCATGATGCATTGATGCATTTACTGCCCAACACTTCATAGTAAAGGGGTATTTTTTGAGTCTTATTATGTTGTCCTTCATTAATGACAAGTTGACAACAATACTAATGTGGCAGTTAGGGGTATTTTATAAGTCAAAATAATTTGTTTGCTAATTACAGTAAGTGGACAATTAGTCTGGACACCTAGAAAATAAAAAATGTTGGCAACTAAATTTGGACGGAGAGTAACTTTAAGGCTGAACACCTAGGAACATGTGCAAAATTTGTCCCAATTCAAAAACTGCAATACTCTAAATTCATTATGAGTTGAGACACACACTTAAGATAACACTGACAACCAATCATTTCGTACTGCAACAATGGGTATAAGTTCAAGCAAATGCAAATTGATTATTCTATCATTCTATGATCTTGACCTTTTGTAATTTGGTGGGACAAGCATTCAAGAATATCATAGTAGTAAACATCAATTTGTCAGTTGTAGCAACTTCCAGGGTGTATATGCACAAGTGTCGCATATCAAAATTAAGGTACTGAATTGTTTAGAATAATGAATGAACCCAAGCCAGTTGAAATGAGGGGGGGAAATTGCAGACAAGAGGTAATAGAAGAACAGAAGAACCTTCAACAGAAAGAAAATTGCAATCAAGTTCAATTAACATTGCTATTGAAAAACTCAAATAAGAACATAGCATCAATAGTGTCCCATATCAAAATTAAGGTACAGAATTCCTTAGATTAATGTATGAACATAAGCTAGTTGAGATGATGGGAAAAAACTGCAGACAAGTGGTAATAGAAGAACAGAGGAATCTTCAATAGAAAGAAAATTGTAATCAAGCTCAAATAAAACTGTGTTTGAAAAACTCGAATAAGAACATAACTTAGGATTGCATCAATCAACAAAGTTGCAACATAGTAGTATTGAAAAAACCAAAACTCTCCACATAACAGCACTAAAAACATACATTTACACATGAAAGACAACAGCTCTATACAAAATTAAAATCCAAAAAACTGCATATCAAAACCCACCTAATACACCATTTGACTATATATCTAAAGCGAAAAATGCAAACTAAAACCCACCTAACACTTCTCGAATGTCAGAAATTTGAAGTGATTGAGTCTAAATTCCGATAGAAAGCCTAGTCCCCAGCCAAATCAAAAACTCCAGATTTGAATCTGTCATTGCTGCTATTTCCGATCATAATTCGTACCTAACGTTCATAAAATTTGATTATATGGAAAGCTACAAAGAGATACAGATGAAACATCATAGTGTTACAATTTTGATTGTCAAGTTGAATCAATGGTTGCTTTAGGAGTAAGTTGTTCAAATTCAGATCTTGATATGACCCACACAAAATGGACTAAAGAAGAAGTAAAAACCTAATCTGGCTAAGCATTCTACAAAGAACTGAATTGAAATTGGGCAAATAGTTCAGACCCCGCGGATTATGATTCATGTTTCCATCATTGAGTCTTTGAAGTACATCAAAGTCCGGTTATTTCAAGAACGTTTATAAGAGCAATAGCATTCGAGAAAGGGAAAAAAAACTCGAAATCAGCAAATTGGTGCAAAAACAATTCCAGCCAAATAGAGGAATGATGTTCCGAAAAAACCTTTAGTTAAAGAGACGACTGACCCTAAATGAATCACAGAAGAACATAACCCACCTTTCAGCAGCGGCTAAATGAAGACGACGATGATTGGCACCAAATGGTAATCTGCTCAGCTCTTCGAAGAGCTCTTCGTTAGAGGTTAACTCACTCCCCACTCTGAAAAAAACCACACTCAAGTGATTCTCACGAACATGACCGCTTGAAATCAATAATAAGGAGTATTTATTTGTGCATTATACTTCATGAAACATTTTGAAGCTGAACTAAGTTTTTGTCCAAACTAGACTCGTACCCGTGCGATGCACAGGCGGTAAAATAACTTATATTTAGTCTTGGTTTGCAATAAAATAAAATGAAAAAGAAGGATTACAAATTTTATTTTTATTGCCCAAAAAAAGGTATTGTACATCAAGGATTGTAGTCGGAATGCAGTGTTATAAGTTTTGGAACACTTCTTTATAAACTACATAATTATAAACTAATTTCTCTTTACAATAAATTAAGGAAATATTGAATTTTCTATATTTACGATTTCGAATTGGATATAATACAAATGAAAATCGGATAAACGATTATTTAAACAGATGCATATTCGGATCAGAGTTTAAATGGATCGAATATTTTATATTAAAAAAGATGTAGAATTAAAATATAAAAAATACATATCTAAAATTATATCAAAAGATAAACAAAAGTAATGTGGACATGACTATATTGAATGAAATTTCAAAAACAAATAAAAAAGAAAGTGTTTGAAGTTTGACTGTGAGAATAGTACACATGCAATTTAATTTTAGTTTAGAGCTAAATTATTTTCATATAATTCATCCATAGAATTTAACTTTTAAAATATATTTTTTATCTAATTAATGTACAAAATATATTTTCATTTAATCATAAGTAAAATGTTGAAAATAGTTTACCGAAAAATTAAAACGGGACAAAAACTCATGAAGGGGCACAATAATAGTCCTCAAGCATTAGCCCACTTATTCTCCCAGCCCAACTTAAAATACCAGCCCAATTTACTTTCCCGGCCCAATATCCATTAATATAAAACCTATCTTCCTAACCCTACCCTTCACTTTCGTTCTTCCACAGTTCCGCCGCTAGGATCCCCTTTCTCCTCCTTCGTCTTCGTCTTCTCTCTTTGTCGCAATCTCTCCATCCGTAACTATGTCTCTCCCTCTCTCTCATATTTTATTTTCTGATTATTAAACTATTTGATTTCCATGTGCACCGATTCATTTCGTTGATTCTATTGTTTTTTTTTTAAATTGTTTTTTTGGATGATCTTGGGGTCCGTTTTGATTTAATGTTTTTTCGTTAAGATGTGTTACAACACATCTTTAGATCATCCGATTTATATATATAATTTTCGGAAATATATATATACATATAATTCTCTAAGTTCTATTTCAAATTTTTCATTAAGATGTTTTAAAATGCATATTTAGATCATCAGATATATATATATATATATATATATATATATATATATATATATATATATATATATATATATATATATATATATATATATGTGCGGTGATAAAAAATTAATATGCATATACCATGTGTGTTATCATCTTCTAATTCAAACATCTTTTTAATTTAATATGCGTACACCATATGTGTTATATATATATATATATATATGGTCCAAACATCGGAGTGTGTGTCTAAATATAGGGCTGTGGCGGAACGGAATTAACCTCCGTTGAGAACATGAGGAGTTGTGGTGTTGTTGAATCAGAGAATGGCCTATTATTTATACTATCAGGATTTTTGAGATTGGTATGAGATATAATAGATGGATTTGACACAAAGTTACTTTTTCATCTATTTTATTGAGCCACTCAAATTTTTTCCCAAAAGAAAAATCATTCCAACTCTTCCCAAGAAATCTACTCACATTACCCAAGAAATTTGCCAAATAAAAATGACCAATTTTTGGCCCATGGACAGCAGCCCATTACCACGGATCTGGCCCAACACTTTTGGCGGGAACACTGTAGAAAAGTGCCTCACACCATTGTATAGATAAAGATATCCAGGTCCCTGTATTTTCAAATCTTAAGCTAAAAGTGGTAATGGCAAAATAGAAAAAAATGTATTTAATAACGCTTATGTATGAAGTATGGGATGAAATGTCTTTTCCCAGTCATTACAATAAAATATAAGGACCTCTATTATCTTTTTGAAAAATAAAGGAACCTGAGAGTTATTTTGAAAAAACTCGCGTTACCCGTAAATAATTTTCTGCACTTTGTAGTGTGTTTTCTTTTTCTTAATAATTGTTTTATTAGGTCAAGAAAGTATATTAAGATCTCACTGTATAAGAGTCCATATATGATATTGTTGGCTCTCCCAGTAATAAGATATAACTGAGTAGTACTCATTTTGAATTAAGGAGTACTTATTCTTGCACAAACATAGGTGTTCATTTGAAATAAAGCACTCCCTTCATTCTAATCTAAATTGCTTGTTTCAGTTTACGATGTTTGACTAAAGTTATTTTCAAATCATTTTATATGAAAAATGGTGTCAAATTAGAAAATAAAAATTATATATTTAAAAACTACATCAAAAGATCTACAAAACTAGTGGTGACATTACCATGTTATTTTATCAAATGACTAATGAAAATAATTAAAGTAAGTAAATAAAGTTTGACCGTGTAGATAGTTTACAAGCAATTTTATTTGAGACGTAGGGAGTAGTACTCATTCTGAAATAACGTAGTACTCATTTTCAAATAACGAAATTCTCATTTTCACACATTTGTTCAATATAATTATAATATTCATTTACGAATAACGTAGTGTGTATTTTAAAACAAAGTGGTGCTCTTTCTCAAATAACGTAATGCTCATTCTTAACTAATGTATCATTCATTCTCTTCAAATTTAGAAAATATAATCCAATAGTCTAATTAAACTTACATTACTCCCGAAAGTCATCTTCATTGTCATTTTCATCATCATCTGCATGGTTGCCACAATGGCAAACCTCCACTAAGCATCTCCTTCCACAATCCACGCAACTAGGATTCATCGTCATCTTTTGTGATGACCATGACCGATCCACTTCTTCATCATCGTCATCATCATCTTCTTCCACGATATATCCACGCCATCCCAGTTGCTCTGTACTACCCTCATTTTCCAAATGAACGCAGCTAGGGTTTGCCTCGACCGCGCTGCTCGCTAATTTTCACCAGTTGTACGGTTCTTCCCGTATAGCCGACTGTAGGATATAATTTACGACGGTATAATATTAACTATATAATGTTAATTCTTTATTCTTTAATAGGTTGAAAAAATATATGAGAACAGATATTTCATGGTAATAAATTTAAATTTTTATTAAATAATACTAGTAACTTAGAAATTAATTTGAGACGGAGGGAATAATAAACAAATGAAGTATAAACTTTTGTAATAAACAAATGAAGTTCAGTGAGTCATTTTAATTTAATCGATTATTTACCTCAAACAAAAACACAATTTAATTCTTATTTGCTCCGTCGACATTAGACATTATTTTTTTTTTTACTTGAAAAGAGAAAGATTATCTCCGAGACGTGATGATGCCAGAGGGAGTAGAAAATTTTCCAACCCCGCCAACATTCTGTTGTGCAACTGGGGGTATAGTATACCATCTTTTTGCGTGTTTCGTAAATATACTCCAAAAACATACTCCGTACCATGCTAATAAATAGTACTTCAAAAACAGTGTATAAATATCAAATCATAATGACGACATAAAATGGTTTATAACGTCAATGGTGCAAACCCAGAATTGACCAAAACTTCAAAATTCAAGCTCTGGCTCCTGAATTCCTAGCTGCGGGCATTTGCGCGAAATTCACTCTGTACTTATTTTAAAAACCTAGAGAATGAAGGGGGAGAGATCGTAGACCATGTTTCGACTGTGATTCTCAGAACTTGTAAACCATGTTTTCTGTGTATCCGACTTCTTTGAGTATGCCACTCAACTGCACCGCCCGAAAGCAACAAAAGAAAGAAAGAAAGAAAAAATGTTGATGATGATTGGAAGCAACCAAGGGATGGATGGATGGATGAATGAATGGTTTAGCAGATTAATACAAAAGAGCACAAACCTCTCCTTGTTCTCTGTTTTCTTTATCTCCCGATATGTGTTTCATCATCCCAGGAGGCCCGCATACCTGGAAAGCCAAAATAATTTGTTGGACTGGAGGTATGTATCTCTAGTGCATGCTGTGAACTCAAAGAACAATGTAGTCTGTCTAAATCTAAGGAAGTAAAATGAACATGGCATCTCTGAGAGTTTGTTAGTTTTGAAAGTTCAAATGCGGATTAATACGCTGTGCCAGCCATATGGGAGATAAATGGCCAGTTTGGGTACATTATTATTGAGATTATAACAGATGGATTAAAAATAATCCGTTTAAAAAAATCAATTCAGATCAGTAATTCATCTAATAGTAATTAATGTGAACAACAATCAATGAGTCATCAAAATTTAGAACATTTGTCTATCCACCGGATAAATTCATTTGCGGATGAATGATGAATGAATAGATTCTTTCGTATCTCAGGATACTTACGAGGATCAGTGTATCATCACTAGGGGGAGGCAAGCCTTTCACAACCATGTCCTGTGATATATAACCCAAGCCTCCTCTCCAATCCTTTGTTGGATCATCTACAGTGTAGAATACCTGAAAATTTAACCCAAAACATAAATCTATGAATACAAAAAAGGGAAGAGATTACTGTAATTCTTTAAAAGCAGACACATAACATCTTCAGATTAATTCAGCCAGTACCTTAAGATTTGGATGTGTAGCTGCAAGGACATCAAGCTTCTTTTTCAGGAGTATGTCATCAGGGGACACATTAGCATACAACAATGAGATCTATAATAATACAAGGCCAGTCAGTTACTAAATATTAGATTCAATTAACTATCTTGTGCAACTGAAATAGAAAAATTGGCATGTATGCGGCTTTACAAGCAGCAAATGTGACCAAAACCCACACCAAAGCAATTTATGGCCCCGAGTTTCAATGATGCAGGATCAAAGAATGTAATCATTTTATCTACCTGAGTATTGTCATCGGGATTCTTTAGAATGGCCTCAATGACCTGGAGCATTGGGGTAATGCCACTGCCCCCCTGCAATCTGTGCAG